AAATCAAAATAATGGATAAATGTTGTGTTTGTGGTAAACAGCCACGGATCAGTAGCGGACTCCTGTGTGAAAGCTGCTTTCCCTCTCACAAGAGTCACCTAAGAGGGGAATTCCCCCCATTTTCAGGCCCTGAATAAATGTCTAAAAATCCTGATTGGACTATCACTATAAATAGTTATAAATGATAAAATGAAGGCTTTAAAAAGTTCGGTATCGGTGATCGGTATCGGCAGATACTGCTTTCTGTGATCGGCAATTGGTGATCGGCCTCAAAAATCCTGATCGGAGCATCCCCATTTAAAAACATATGAGACGCAGTGAAAAGGAATAAACCTCCACGAAAACGTGACGCGTTTTCTAAAAGTTTAAACTGTTTTAACTTTGCATGGCTTTCTATACATCTCGTGTGACGCAAGTGCAGCAGTCATATTTGTCAGTCTAGAAAATGCGCTGAATATGCGCTGTGTGTGAATGGCTTGGTTTTGGTTTTAACCTAATCAAGATCTTCTACGCATTGAGCTACTATATTTCTCTAATATTTTGAATGAATAACGCAGAAACTGCGCGTCTCGTGGGCTAGACTAACAAAACATCAAACTACAACGTCACTTTCATCATCATCACCGCATCTGTGCTCCACTGATGACGCTCCCTGACGCACACTTAACATTCGATTGTACTATTTTTGCATTCAAATGCAAATGTTTATTTTAAATTTGGCTAATATTATTTTTTTTATTCACAATCTCCTCATCACAGGCAGGCACAGCACTCATGTTCGTGTTTGTGTGTGCTGTCTGCGCACTCATAGCACGCGCCTATATCGTGCACTATATCGAACATTTTTTATAGCGTTATCGAAGGTGTACCGTCGATAAATATCGATACCATTTTATCGCCCAGGCCTACTTAACGCACGCAATTAATTTTACAATCCTTAACGCGTTAAAATAATTTAACGCAATTAACGCAAAATTACTGAAGCACAATTTCTATTCTAACCCTTTAACCCAATTTGGCTTCTCTGCTTGCGATCAGATCATTTTAAGCCACTAAACTCTGGGAAAGTTTTCGGTCCAATGATCCAGTAAGCGAATGCCAGCCCTCTACGGACACCTTGGCAATTGAATCGCCATTGGCTAGTAAATTTTTTTGTTTACTCGCCAGAATGATAAAAAAAACAAATCACACAAACTAAAGTAGATTGCAGAAATATAAAAACAAATCTGTTGCTTTACCACACTACTTTAGGTAATTCAAAGTCACTGTAATAAACATATGTAAACATGTGCACTGCACTTTTTAAACACTGTCTGTTAACTTTAGACCAGTGGTTCTCAAACTTTTTTGGTTGCGCCCCCCTCAGACTACCAAATAATTTCACTAAACATTATGAAAAATTAATGTTTTTTTAATTAAAAAAACCTACAGGGAAAAAAACACCTGCATCACTTGAAACATTGAAAAATAGCATAGAGAGAATAACTTATTATTATTATCTCTGTTTTATTTATTTATTTTTTGTGGGTTCCTTGCTGTCCGCTAAGGCATAGGACACACACAGGCTTTCCTCCTCACCAACGACATAAAACACCGTGTCTACACCGGACGCGAGCGGCAAAATACAGTAGAAACCATTATAACCAGTGACACTGTGTACACTGGATGC